AACTATGGGAGGAAGGAAACTTGGTTTAATAAAAAGAGGACAGGAAATTATAGATTGGGTTGATTATTGTATTGAGTAGAAACTCATGGTCCTACGTTGGTTTAGGAGGCAGAGTAACCCATTTTAGATAAAATGCATTGTCCAAACTCATTCACAAGTACTTTAGAAACGAATAGGCCTGCTGATTCTTTTAGATTCTTTCAGTTTTTAGGATCTCTTTGCTCTTTTCAAAATTATAAAATACTATTAGCACCCTGTCTATGACAAGTACTATCAAAGTTTCATTTTTTTAATGACTTGATTTAATAATTTCTTCATAGGTTCCTCTTCCCATCAACCCCATCCTGATGGCTTATGGCAATATCTCAGTGAGTAGAATGTCTAACAGTTTTCGCTAGGTTATTCAGAGGTTACTTTCAGGGACGAGAGAGGAAGTGAAGAAGCATTGTTTGTGGGGATATATTGGGAAATACTTTGCTTTAAAAATCTCTTGAATCTTGCCATGCTCTAGGATATTTTGTTTTTCAAAAGGACCACTTTAGCATAACTTCCCAAGCTAGCCTCTTTGGTTGGACTGACCCAGCATTCTTCTGTTTTCTAGCTTGTTTATGTTCAGTATTCAAGGCCCTCTGAAGATTCTGTTCATCTAAATGAACTTTGGAATAAGCCTTTGGAGGAAAAATTGACATAAAACAGATAAGATAAAGGAAGAGAGAGGGGGAGAGGAATGGGAGAATGTTATCTATTAATAGCAATCTGTAATTACTTGCATGTCTCCTTCATCACAATAATCATGTGAGTCAGAGTGTCTTCATTTTATAGGTAAGGAAGCAGGTAACATAGTTGGTAAGGGGCAGAGCTTGATTGTGAACCCAGATATGGCTAACTGTAAGCCATGTAGGTCTTGCCATTTTAGAACACTTGAAGTGAGAGAGAGGGGTCCCTGTTTTTTTAGGAGATGGAAATTAGAGAGTGTTAGTAGAAACCAACCAAGATTAGCACTAATGGTATTATCTTTCCTTTATAGCCTTCAGCCTATGTATTAGAGATTTTTAAAGGGATCAAGTCAAGGTGAGTCCTAGTGCACAATTTGTTATTTATCAAATGCTTACCTGAATGTGAAATAAATAGAAACTATAATTGGTGGTTATCTTCCTTACAGGTTTAACTGTGTCAAAGTTTTGATGGAAAATAATTTATTGTCATGTTTTTTATGAAGTACTAGAACTAGGAGGCTCCTTCTAAAGTATGAAGGTAGATACTTTCAAGGACAAATGAAGAGTAGTAGTTTATGTTGTAGGTAATGAAATAATATATAATTCAATCAGAAGTGCCAACTGTTAACAGTTTTTGTCACATTATTTCCTTTGGTTTATTTTTTGCATACATAAACAATTGGAATCATATACAGTTTTGTATCCTATTCTTTTTCACATATTTCCTGAACATTTTCTCATTATTGATATTCTTCAAAAACACATCATTAAATTAATTCAAAATATTCCATTGTATGAATAACTACAATTGGATGTTGGATTTGTTTCTCAGTTTTTGCTAT